CGCATGTGCAGCCAGTGGAGACAGGTCCAGGTCTGCTGGAGCTCGCCACATTCACAATAACAACAGCCTGATGTGGTCGGATCACGTCTTCTGGAGAGTAGAGCGATCCGTTTATTTGTTTTGTCAATGGCCATGTTTCTCAGATGTTGGGGTGAACCTGTTTACTTGCCACAGCAGCTACATTTGAAATAAAAATAAACGTACACAATTAAACAAATTGCAGTTGAATACAAGCCACAGGTTTTCATGTTGCAAGGTACACGTAACGAAACTCTAACATTTAATGTTTCAGGGGCTCAGTTAAAGTTTGGTATTTGATCCCGCAGGAGGAGAGCCTAACTTTAACCCTGACCTCATCCCCAATTACTTAACCAGAACTGGCCCAAAATATTTTTTTTATTGCAGACTGATGAGATTTAAATGGAGTAATTTAGGTGGTTGTATTCTCGAGAATAATAGCTTGAAAATCATGTATAACATGCCACAGTAGTTCATATTCATATCCTATCTTTTGAATGTTTTAAAAACTATTTTCCAGTTATCTTAAAAACAGTTTCTTGTTGTTAATCTCCTATTTCAATATTTTCATATAAATTCTTATACTGATGCAAAATCCAAAATGCATTGTCCATGTATCAATGCAGTACTAATGACTAAATTGTTTGAATAGATAATTGTGTGTGTGCGTGTCTCTTTGTGTATCTGTGAATGTGATTTTGTGTGTGTGTTAGTGAGTGTGTGCCGAGTACATTGTGGAGCCATATTGGGCAGTTGTAGACAGAGGCAGAGCAATCGCGCTGTCAGGAGGACTGAAGTGCACTTGGACGGGGCTAATGTCTCCCAGTGCGCTCGGCTCCTCACACTCTGGCTCGCACACACACTCCTGTACACACACTCCTGTACACACACTCCTGTACACACACACACTCCGCTCTCCTCCTGCATCTGCCGCCGCTCGTGGCTGTAGTTAAATTGAAATATTTCCCGGCGTGTGTCAGAAGCATGCAGAATGGTAATTATGACAGATCTGATTAGGCGGGCGAGTCGGGCAGCTCCGGGCTGCAGGTGCGACCTTGTGCATTCCTGCGTGTGTAAATAAAATTAATTACAAGCGTAGGGGGCGCGCAGCGCGTGACATCGGCACGCGCAGGGGGGACTCCCACGGGGGGTACCCTAATGGAATATTTTCCCCGAGTCTAATAATACAGTTGGTATTGACTTGAGGTAATTAGGGGGATCATTAAAGCGCTTTTCCCGGCGTATTTGCCTGCCTGATCAGATTAGCGAGAATGGGCCTCAGAACAAGCCCTGTGTGGTCTGTCAGGAGCAGTGGAGACAGAGGAGAGGGTGAGCCGCCTTGTACCACAGCTCGCTGACAGCAAGAGGAGCCGTTACTATCAAGATACATGAGTACGCACCGGCGCATTTACTCGCAGTGTGACGAGTGATTAGGCGCGGGTTGCAGCGGAGCGGCACAGATCGGCACCGCACACTTTCAGAGCCGTTTGTCAGAATGCGACAAAGGTTTTATAAACAAGTCTATTACTTGAGCTCCCAGCGGAGAGAGAGGCGGGGCCAGATGTGCCACTCTGCTGATGGGATGACACTTACTGATTAGCTGTCATTTGTCAACCAACCACGACTTCATCCATTAGTACGTGTTTATGCTAAGGTTGTACTCTCTTCATCAGAAGTCACGAGCAGAAAGTGTGCACCCTGATTTTGGGGCTGAATAGAGATTTTGCTTTTTAATCTTGTGGTTGAAAACGGTGTGTGATAACGTTAGAGCCAAAACATGTACCACTAATTGTGTTTTCCCCATGTTGTGTGTTACTACTGGACTGAAAATGATATAAAAATACATCCGTACAAAAAGCAGGCTTGTATTTCCACAAACCTAGCTCGTACGTGTCCTGGAGAAGTACCCTATCCTGCTTATATCTATGGAAATGTGTTTCGGCTACACTCTCACCCCAATATGGCACCCAATTTGTCACCAAAAACAGCTAACTAGATCATATCGGAAAGGCTTACTCATTGCTCTTATTAGAGTCACATATATTGTGCCATACAAATAAAGTTTTCACTCCTTCTTGCATTTCAAATTCTTCTACATTACAAGTTCTGCCAATAACAAAACTTGTTGACTGTAACTAGAGGAATACAACTTTTTGACAGATTCTCAAAACAGATATATCTGTTTCTGTAAATTAACTTCTTGTGCATAACACAGTATTTCTTGTGCTTCCGAATAAGAAGGTCCTTGGTTCGATTCCACCTCCAGGCCTTTCTTTGTAGAGTTTGCATGTTTTCCCCGTGTCTGCGTAGGTTTTCTCCTGCTGCTACGGTTTTCTCCTCCTGCTGCTACGGTTTTCTGTACCATTAAAACATGTACAATGAGTGAGAGATTGTGATGGTTACTCAACACATCACGTGGAGTAAAAGGAAATTACTGGTAAAACAAGATTTGTAAAGGTTTATGTAATGCTCAATATGCTCTAAATTCCAGGAATTAGTTATATTATTGTGTTCTGAAATATACATACCCCAGCCTTAAAAAAAAAAAAATTCATATTTAGTCCTATTTAAATCCTGTATATGCATTCCCTTTGCACTGGAGCTGAAGTCTGTGAGATCCTGCTCTCTGTGGCTGCGTCTGAAACCACACAGTACTCTTTCCTTTCTTTCCTCAACTTTATTAACATCATTCATTTGATTACCTTAAATGAATCAGTGTTTTCTTTGTGTTTGTGTAAAGTTTGAGGGTACAGCACCAGGAGGAAGCCTAGACAGACACAGGGAGAATATGTAAACCTACATAGAAAGGGAGTGGAATCCATCCCATGAACTTCTTGCTGTGAAGCACAAGCGCTAACACATGCCACCCAAGACAAATTCCCTTTCGAGGTGTTAAAGGTTTCTTTCATTTATCAAATTCAGGGGCAAGACATTTTTCAACTTCAGTTTTTGAGTTTCAATTGTCTCTACGGATACAGCTGTTGTAACCGTAACGACTGCGGCAGCAACGTCACCATATGCCGCTCTCTGGGTCTGCTGACATTTCCTGGTGTAAGGACGTGCCGAGGAGAGGTGGTAATGAAGAGGCATTTTGGCTGGAGTCCTGGCACAGTCGTGGGGTTACTTTTCCGAGGAGGTGGTGGGCGAGCAACGGCGGCAGACAGATGGGGCACGAGTGAGAGAGAGAGAAAGAGACAGAGATAGGGAGGAAGAGAGAGGCAGAAAGAGAAACCAGAAAGGGACAGAAATAGAGAGAAAGAGAGAGACCAAGACAGAGACAAACAGAGAGAGAAGGCCCTCTACACACGGCTATAGGGAGGAGCGCACTGTAAAACGGGCTGATGGGAATTCTACTGTCCATTAAACAATAAGAGGAGAGAGCCCGTTTCGGAGGGAGGGGAGGACTTACCGTTTGCTCGATAATTCATTCGCTAAATTAATTATTCAGACAGCTGGCTCTCCAGTTCAAGAAATTGTGTCTTTAATAATACAGAGGATCTGCCCTCCGCCTGTTTCCCATAGCAACCTAATAACCGTGCCGGTGCCAGCGATAAATAAATAAATCAATTAATAAACAGTCACGATCCTTAGCTCCCCGCGGGCCCTGGTGTGTTTGAGACGGCAGCTTTAAGGCAGGGACTGTGATCTCATCTGCTCCGCCGCACTGACAACACGGGAGCATGAAGAATTGAATCTGGTGTGAAAGGGGAATCTGTCATATTAGCCGTGCAGAGAGCTGTGTGTATCGTCACAGTGTGTTATCCCTACACACGGTTACAAAAAGTGTGGAGGTATTTGATGTGTGCGATTGTGAAATGATTTGATTTCTCTGGTCTCTTTCTGGTGTCTCTATGGTCTCTCTCTGGTCTCTCCGCTAGTCTCTCTGGTCTCACTCTGGTCTCTCCCTTTGGTGTCTCTTCTCTCTCATTGGTCTCTCTCTGGTCTCTTTCTTGTCTCTGGCCTCTCTAGTCTCTCTCTCAGGTCTCTTTGGTCTCACTCTGGTACCTCTCCATCTCTCGGGTCTCTCTCCGGTCCCTTTTTGGTTTCTTTTTCTGGTCTCCCTGATCTCTCTCTCATCTCTCTCTCTCTCACTGTCCTCTCTCTTGTCTCTCTCTCTCTGGTCTCTCTTTCTGATCACCTGTACAGACAACACGGGAACATGAAGAATTGATTCTGGTGTGAAAGGGGAATCTGTCATATGCTGTATGTATCGTCACAGAGTGTTGTTCCTACACAAGATTACAAAAAGTGTGGAGGTATTTGATGTGTGCGATTGTGAAATGATTTGAATGAGCACCCTCCCTATTCCGGCCGCGAGCCAAATTGCAGACGCGTGAATCAGAAGTAACTTTATTATTATAATTTGTCATGATTTGTCTCCAATTTATCAAATTTGAGTTGGTAAAAGATCGGTTACTGCATTCTTCCAGTGTTTTCCTTTTATTGGACGACATAATAAATGCTCTTTGATCAGTTAATTTAATTGTACCATATACAGTACGTGGATGTTTGCTATACTGAGGTCCCTCACCTTTCGCAGCCATTCTGGAATTTTTGCTATTGCTCATGCTATTTCTATTTTTTTATCACAGCGTACTTATCTTAGTCTCTTGTCTCTCTCTCTGGTCTATCTCTGCAGTTTCCCTCTTGTCTTCCCTTAGTCCTCAGTTCGGCTTCTGCCCCCCAGTCCTGTTTCTGCCGCTGCAGCTGTATTTTACAGTGTATGCACGGCTTTTGACAGCTGTAGCAGCGTTCAGAACTACAACCAACAGCGATGGCGTGGTTAGTAAAGTGTGTAGGGGGTTTACAGCCTTAAAACATACAGCTATTACTTCAAGGATTTAATCATTTGTTTCAATCAAAATAAAACCCCCACAATAAACCAGGGTCAGTGTAATCGTACATTGTTTGAAAGTGTAATGAGATTCTAACTTTCTAACATTCTAACATTGTTCGCAAGTTGTTTGGAATATTAGAGCAGTATGTCAGTGTGCGCAGGCTCGGCACGCTCTCGCAGCCCGGACCCTGAGAGCTTTCACAGCCTCTTGGTGGTCGCTACCCGAGAAGTCACCCGAAAGGTCAGCCATCTGCACCTCTTGTCCCACAGCCATGTACAGAGCTGCTCGTGGACTTCACATACGCATAAATGAACGCTACACAAACTCACCACAGCTTGCTTCTATGCCCTCATACCTGGTGATGATAGATTCATGAAAGTGACAAGCCACCTTTGGAAAGTTGGTCTGTGTTATGAAAAAACATAGAAAGCATGCACTTGCAATTAATGCCTGATGCTACACAGCTCTGTCTATGACTGGGGTGATACAGAAAGAAGCGTTTATATGACATCACAACAAAAAGTCAAGTCTCTCGTCTGAGTTTAGAGCTATTGTCTCTGTAATTCCTGGAACAATCTACATGAAATAAAAACTGTGCCAAAGTTTCACATATTAACAATGGTATAATTATTTTCTCATGAAGGTGGTCTGCAAGGGGTCTCTCTCTCCTTGTTCTCTCTATTGTCTCTTTCTGGCCCCTTTGGTCCCTCTCTATTCTCTCTTTGGTCACTCTCTGGGCTCTGCTGACATTTTCCTGGTGTAAGGACAGAGAGATAAACTAGAGAGAGATCTCTAGTTTATCTCTCTGGTCCCTCTCTCTAGTCTCTCTCTGGTCCCTCTCTCTAGTCTCTCTCTGGTCTCTCTCTGATCTCTCTTTGGTCTCTTCCTCTGGTCTCTGGTGAGTAGAAAGGACTTACAGACATAAGAAAAATAGGGCAGCTTTGTGTATCTAATCACTATCAAATATTGATCTGGGGATATGACAGGCCATTTACTTTTGGCACCTGCTGAAATACTGAACTGGATTCAAACATAACAGCAACCTATGTAAAATCACAAATAAATAGTAAAACGAGCGAGGATGAAGCGAGAAACAACTCTACTCCCTGCAGAATACAAGCAGCAGACCACAGACCCCACAGATAGAGATGGTCGAGATAAGCCAAAAGCGTTATGAAGACGTACATTACAGAAACTGTCTAAATATAAATACTATTAATAATCACAGTTACGTGGAGAGCTCCTCCCCGCACCTCAGCTAAGCACCGCCCCCTGCGCCTCCTCTCTGGGGAGCGGCGTGCCAGGCGGGTGCGGGCAGACAGATGGTGCCCCGCTCTCTCCGCCCCCTCCCTCCCTCCCCAGGCGTCGCAGCGGCACACCAGATCACTGCCATTCTGTCTCATTAGAGCCGGGCTAATTAGCGTAGCCTCTTCCAGGGGAGAAGGAGCTGGCGCGAGGGAGGTGAGGTGGTGGTGCCGCTGGTAGCGGGGGGTATGTACTGGTCACCGCGGGGCTTTGAACCCTGTGGCGTGGCTCGCTCCCAGGCCGCTTGTTTGGTGGCGGTGGGGGGGCGCTGGTTGCGGGCTCTCACGGGAAGTGTTTTTGCTCGTCTCCAACATTAAAGGAGAGCGGCCCCCAACCCGCGCTGCGTCAGCCTCCCACCGTGCACACTGCAAAAACGGGCTCCACAAGACATACCAGTGAAAATTCCGGCTGTACATAATTCTTCTGAGAATTATGTACAGCTGGTCCAAAACTCAATGTACAGGAAACCTATTTGGACAAAAATACAAACAAATGTGTCTCTCTCTCTGGTCTCTCTCGAGCCTCGCTAGTTTCATTATTCTATCATCTATTATCTTAAATAATAGATCCTGTTGGATGTGTGCATAACCTGAGCTCTCCTTTTATTCTGCTTGCGCAGAATAACAATATATATGCAATATATATATATTGCATATATATAACAATATATGCGCAACAATAATTTGATTTTCCCCACTGAGGGACGAAAAAAGGGATAAAGGTATATCTTATTGTGTCTCTCTCTCTGGTCTCCCACAAGTTTCTTCAAATCCAAATAAGGAGAAAACCAAATTGTGACCCCTCCTACAGAACAGGTACGGCCTTCATCATGTGTCTTCTCCAACAAAGGCTGAAGTGCACCAGCCCCACAAACATGTGGTAATTAAGCAGCACAAACTTCTTTACACCCTTAGAATTATTTTTTACTTTACTGTACAAATCTAAAAATTCCAAGCCTGGGTTAATTCAGACTGACTTAGACATTGTAAGTTATCTGATCCAAACCAACCAAAACAACATACAATTTCTTTAAGGCAGTGTTTTTACAGTGGCTACTAAGTGGGGTTAGGCAGCACGGCAAGCCTCCTCTGAGTCACAAATGAGAGCGAAGCAGGGAGCTGGTGTGGAGCTGGTGTGGAGCTGGTGTGGAGCTGGTGTGGAGCTGGTGTGGAGCTGGTGTGGAGCTGGTGTGGAGCTGGTGTGGAGCTGGTGTGGAGCTGGTGTGGAGCTGGTGTGGAGCTGGTGTGGAGCTGGTGTGGAGCTGGTGTGGAGCTGGTGTGGAGCTCCTGCTGAGACGATTATTACAGCATTAACCCCGAGCTGCTTTACAGGGACTGGACTCAACTCGGGACAACTACCCAGGGACATGATGATAGTGTTTACCGTGATTAAAGAGGTTGACCATTGTGTATAAATGTGACAATATTAATAACATATATTTTCAAGGTTGACCATTGTGTATAAATGTGACAATATTAATAACATATATTTTCAATGTTATTTTCATTTTACATTTTTTGTGCTTAACAAAAAATAAAGGGGTCCAACATTCCACATCTGTTCAGACTGGCCTCTTCACTGTGACCGTACAGGTCTGGTCTCTCTCACTGATCTCAGTCTAGTCCAGTGCCCATGTTAACTATGTTTTTAACAATTAACTATTAATAACAAAAACATAATAACAGTCTGGCACTCTACAGCCGTAGCGGCCCCACTCAGGCACTGGGTGTTCCCAGAAGTCTCCCATCACAGTACTAACGGGGATGTGACTTTCACCTGTAGATGGCAGTAAATGTAACAAAACAAAAGTACATTCCTACACTTCTGCTATTCTATAAAAAGTAAACTCTGTGATTTAATGTGTTCTTGGTTTTTAGTTTAAGAAGGTTCATAACTAGTGACCAATCAAGTGTCTCCTGTCTCAGAATATAGAAAAGAGCAAGCAAGAGCAGACCAGTGCTATTTCTTATTGTCATCGCTATCCATGGATTTGGCTCATTTTTTCGAACCATAGTTTGAGTTAGCAGAAATCAAACACTATGGGTGAGGTCAGCACTGAGTTAGTCCACCAGTCTAGACGGTCTACGTCGGTGTAAGAAAATACAAATATAGTCTACTATATATGGTACTGTAAGAATTTAGATTTCCTACATTATGTCCAGTCCATGTGTATAACTTCATAGAAAATCCACCAAAGCATTCAAATATAATAGATTATAAACTTCTCTGGCATTGCTTAAATGTACACATCATATCCTGAAGCATTCCTGGAAGCACACTAAGAATGATTGTGATTTCATCTGACAATATTAACTGCCGTCATAAATCACAGACCTGGCGTGGATGACTTCAAACCTGTCTGCCTGGACTTGAAACGCCACTCCATGATTAGCTGGGATCCACTCTGCAGAACGGGGAGCAGTAGTGGAGTGATGTGAGGGCAAAGCTGTGGGGGGGCGGCGGCTACGAACCCACAGAGGTCTCCTCCGGTGGCAGCGTTCCAAAGAGCACACAACAAGAGGAGAAGGAGGAAGTACAGTGGTCCCTATTTTATCGCGGAGGTCACATTCTATAAACAACCTGTAATAAGTGAAATCTTTTAAGTAGCAGCTCTATGTTTTAAGGCTGTAAAACCCCTCACACACTTCATACACTTTTCTAACCACCTGAACTCACGGCCGCTGAAGGCAGAAGCTAAACCTGTTGGTTGTGGGTCTGAGCGCTGCTGCCGCTGTCAAAAGCCATGCATAGACTGACACCGGACTGAGGGTCAGGAGCAGGACTGAGGGTGATGGGAAGACCAGAGAGAGATCAGACAAAAACAAAAACAGAGACCAGAGAGAGGCCAGAGAAAAACGCGTGCGAGAGATATTTTAATACAATTTAACTGGCCTGTTACACTTGCGGTTGAATGATGTTGTTGTATACACATGCAAACAGTGCACACAGTATACACACTGTGAAAGATCGAGGCCGCGAAGGGGAACCGCGTTATAGTGAACGTCACTGTATGATCAAAGTTTACTTATAGAGAGTTGCATTTGTTTTGTTTATTTTGTTATTATCATTAGTTTCTTAAAAATCAGGAATCACAAACGCATTGTTGGTCAGAAATATCACGATTAGGTTATTTGTCAAAACGGTGCAGCTCCAAGAACGGCAGTGAGAACCTCATCACAACCAAGCACCGCTCAAAGCAGAAGATCACAGTCGAGAGCTTTTGTCTCAGTCACAGAGAAGTGTCACTGTGTCTGTAAAGGAGACTGTTGCTCCACCGCAGGCCGCCTTGACCATTTTCAGAGGCTGCTGAAATAAGAAGAAATGAGAAGCCATTGAGCGAGTTGGGGGCGGTGCTAAACATTCAAACCTTGCAGAAACGGGTATAGCTCCTTTAATCTCCCAAAAAATCAAGTAAAATGACAGTAATCCCTTTGTCTAATTATTGTAAGTAAGCTAAGTAAGTAAGCTTTTATTTATATACCGCCTTTTCACTGCACATCGGAGTCTCAAAGCGGTTTACAATTGTTATTTTTTTGGGAGTGGGGGTGCCAGTACAGGAGGCACATGCCATACCTATTGTACATATTTTTTGTGGTAGGGGAAACCGGAGCACCCGGAGGAAACCTACGCAGACACGGGGAGAACATGCAAACTCCACTCAGAAAGGCCCTGGTCCAACCGGGATTTGAACCCAGGACCTTCTTGCTGAGAGGCGAGAGTGCTATCCACTCAGCCACCGTGCCGCCCGGTCATACATTATTGTCATAATGTATGATAGGTAGAATACAAAATATCAACAGATGTAAAGATGAGAATCAAACACATACTTTCAGCCCCCGACCAAAAAGAGTTTGACAGCCCAAAAGGATGAGATTCCCCCAAAACTCCCCTCGGTTAATACAGGCCGAAACTCTGACATTAGTGTCATAGTACAGATACACACTGACCCCACAGACGCTACAGGGGTCCACTATAAGGAGAGCAACTCGGAGCCAAAAGTAGAGGCCTGCTTTCCTTAAAAGGAAAATCAAGTTCACTCGTTAGTGAGTAGAAGAAATAAATTCTATTAGTGTTAACAGATCTTGTGTTAACAGTAATATAAGTTGTGCGTGTTTATTGTTTGGGTTCTCTGTGGGGGGGATGAAATAAGGCAATGGGAGTCCACCAGTGGGCTGTATTAATGGGAAAGGCTGTAGGGGTTATGGATAATGCTGCTAATCTCCAAAACCTATCTCCAACACGATCTGGTTTCAGCTCCGCTCTGGTGGAGAATCAGCTGATCCTGGGGCGACGGGAGCGTGTAGGGAGGCTCGTCTGACAGAACACCCCCACACAACACACACTCACACACAACACACACACACACACACACACACACACACACACACACACAACACACACACACACACACACACACTACGCTGTGATTTCCCAGAAGTCCACATGGGCATGGTGCCAGGGCCGCCCATCCTCCATCCTCCACCAGCCGCCATATTATGGACGCTGGCATCTCGCTACACTTTCCTGTTTTGTCAGCGCCGCCGTTTTTCTATAAATCAGTTGCAGCGTATCATAAAGACAGCAGGGACAAACACAGAAGGACATGTCCAGAAATATGCTTCTTGTCCTCGACTCACGCTTTCTTGTAAACTTTTATGCAAGGTCTGAATTTGAAAAATCATTTAAAAAAAAATAATGTTTCTGTGGGAAATCTGAAGATGGCCTCTGACTCAGGTTGTGTATATTTCAAGAAAGGGGACTTTCAATTCAATATGATTTGTTTTTGTAAATCAAGGGGAATAAAATCAGGAAAAAAATATGAAAAAGTCAGAAAAAACTCAAATAAAAAACTAAGGAGAATAAAGATATTGTATGTTATTCAAAAAATATTGATATTTATCTCAAATTCAATTATTATTATTGTTTTAGCACATCCCAATCTCTAACCGTGATAAATGTGCTTCATGGGAGAAGAACAGCTGTGTTTGGACACATTGAGTTTGCTCATGGATCAGCCTTTTCCACAAACTCTCTGAAACACAGGTGTAAAGTAGCCCTCTTGCTGTAACCTGGAACAATGCATCTCTCCTTTTGGCTAATGCTTATTGTACTATGCGCATGTAAAAAACAAACTTCAATAGTACCAATCAACACAGGAGCGCTGTCATTGCCGGTATCGATGTTGTGTCCTTCTAATATCGGTTATCATCGCCCCATCCTACGCAGTATAGGAAAAACTATTGCTGGTAGTTGCGTTGGCAGGACTGCTGGAGGCGGGGGTATACCAGCTGCCCGCCGAGCGCCCATTACGAGATGGAGCTGGAGATAAGTGCTCTCCCAGGCCCCTTTTCACCGGCATAATTAGCACACTTCTTATCTCCCATTCACGCCCGCCTCTCCCTCCGCCAGCGCAACCACCCTGCCCGGTGTGCGGCGCGAAAGGGGGTAAAGACTTGACTGGATTTTGCGAAACCCCAAAGTCAACGCGAGGACTTCTCTTTCCCCCACGTTACGATGTCTTCCGTCTTTGAACTCCTTGACAAAAACAGTGGTTTGTGCATCAAGCTGCAATTTGGTAAAACAAATCTATCTGGGCTGTAATCATCCTAATCAGCGGGAAAAAACTAAAGTCTGTGCAGATATTTCCCCACGATTGGTTACCTAGCCTGCCGCCGTTCCTCTTGGCAGACACAATGGGAGAGCTTTAATAATAAGAGCCGCGTTGGAAAATTGCTTTTAATAAGGGCTTAAAGTTGCGCTGTTTTCTCTTCTGATTCCAGGGCACACAGTCTGGTCTTGTGTGAGCTCGCGGAGATAACAGGGGGGGCCCCGGCTCGGAGTGAGTCTAATATAAACAGGTTTGTTTGGTGTTGAAACATTGCCGACTGCTTAAACTCTAGCGCTAATATAAGACGACACATGTCATTATGGCGGCTGCCGCTCTTGTGCGCGCAGTTATGTCTCCGGCGCGTCTTTTGAGAGATTCCTGTGTGATTGCTCATTCCTATAGATCCATTTACAAGGAGAGCTTTATGGGAGATGGAAAAGCGGCTGTGTGGGGGTGGCAGAGTGTCTGTGTATGTCTTTGTGTGTGCCCTGGGGTTCGGCTAAACTGTGTCTAGAGTTGTGTACGTTGTGAACAAAAGTGTTGGTAATTTTCTACTTCTTTATGTGTGCTTGAAAACATACACAGTAATTATGGACTGGTTATTTCCACTTTCTTTGTAAATACTTTTGTCCAGGAATATTTATTTAGCCCAGCTTTAAAGTTAAATCCAAGTTTATACCTGGTTTTAATCCCCATTTTAGTTAGTACAGAATTTGAACAAGTTTCAGGTAAATTGTGATAAATAGAAGTACTGCAAGACCTGATGCTAATATTATCAAAAAGTACAACATTAAGTTTAGAAAATTACATCCATCCAACAGTCTGAGCAGAGACTTCCCTCTTCACACACACTTGCTCCAGCTCATCCAGGGGAGTCCCAAGGCGGTCCCAGGCCAGCCGAGAAACAGTCCCTCCAGCATATCCTGGGTCTTCCCTTGTTCTCCTCTCGGTGGGACATGCCCAAAACACCTCCTTTCCATTTCCCAAGGTTATCTCTACTTTTCGGTCATTACATTCGTGACACATTGTTTGAACTTATTAGAAAGTATTCAGGGCATCAAAGCTGACAAATAAGCAATTATTATTATGAAATCCGTTTAAGAAATGTTCCCAGTTCAACAAAAGCTCTGCTCTGCTCAGTTCTACTCTACTCTACCAGCCCTGTTTGACCAGTACCATGTCCCTCTTTAGTCCTTCTTGGCCCTGGTTCTATCCAGTATCGAGTTGGTACTAAAGTGTTCTCACTGACTGATTTGCCAGAGTGCTGATGGAAGCCATGGTTACCAAGGAATTTCCCTGGATACTGGTTCATTGTGGGCCACATGTTGAAGCGTGATATACCTCCCTAAAGCACAGACTCATTCAAAGGTCTGAAGTGAAGAGAAATAAGTTAAATGTAAATATTTGTAGTCATAGAAGTTACTCTTTCAACCCTCTACAGCACAATCTTCTTGTGATGCAATGAAAATGGACTTCTGAGGAATATTTTTCGCTGCTGTTCTAATAGCATTATCTATTCGAATGATGTGGTCAGTTTTTGATCTTGAAATAGCTTAAACAAAGGACAAAGTCAAGCACTTCCAAACAAAAGGCCTCCGTAAAAATGCAGCCCTGAGATATATGTTGTAAAGGCGTACCAATTAGTAGTCTCAAATTTGAAACTAATTTCTAATTTGTCAGTATACTGGTCCCTAGTTTATTGTGGGGGGTAATGTATTCTAAAAACAACCCACAATAAGAAAGAGCAGATCTATGTTCTAAGGCTGTAAAACCCCTCACACACTTCATACACTTTATACACTTTTCTACAAACCTGAGCTCATGACTACTGAAGTGTGATGGCGGAAATATCAGTGGAGATATCTGCTCAGCGCTACTGCAGCTGTCAAAAGCCACGCATACACTGTAAAATACAGCTGCAGAGGACACCGCGGTGAGGGGAAGGAGCAGACTGAGGGAGAGACCAAAGAGAGACCAGGAATAGACCAGAGAGAGACACAAAAGTTTTCCCCTGAGTTAATTGTCATGTTATACTAGCAGTTATATGATGTTGTGTGAGATTTCATAACACTTTGAAGCAACTTTTGTTAAAGTTAAAACTCATCATTCTATCAATGTGCAGAAGCCAGTACTTTTCCCTTGTTGTGTCTATCTGAAGGCCAAGCTACATGGCACCGTGGCAGCTGCTGATTGGAGGTCTCCATGCCTCCGCTCTGTATAATACACTTGCATTCTATTGTATCTGTGATCGTGTGCTTTGTTCGTGCTGTCTCTACCATCGACAATAAAACATGTCTTCTGTCTGAATTTAAGACGCGATCCCAGACTTTGTCATCTTCTTCAGTTGTATATGATGTTGAGTACACACATATGGTGTTGAGTGGCATGTTGTAAAAAAGTAAACAAACAAATGAGCAAAACAGCAAAACCGCGTCATAATGAGGAACCACTGTGTATATCAACTACGATCTCATTATAGTCTCATAAAGGTGACACTATTCAAAAACATATAAAGATCGCCAGTAGAGAGGACTTTCAGACACAAGAATAATACAGCGGCTTTGTGATTCTGGGGTACCTGGCTTTTGGAGGCAGCCACTTTTGCGAACAGGGCCTGGGACACCTTGGCTCTCTTCATCTCCTGCTGGATCTCGTCGTAGATGGTAGAGTTGATGTTGACCAGGCAGTTCTCTGACTTGCCGTTCCACTCGCAGGGCAGAGTGGGTGGCTTCACCTGAAAAACGCAGAACAAATCCCTGCTTCAGATCACAGACTTTGATGAGTATGACCATTTTGGAATATATTTGGACACGTCTTGAGAGACTTGCTGGTTTGTGTGTGAGTGCGTGTGTCAGTGTGTCAGTGTGTTTGTGAGTGTGGTTGTGTGTGTGTGTGCTCAGTGCGGCGTACTGGGCGTCTGGGGGGGTGAAGGTGCACGGGGGAGGTGCTCACAGGGGAGATGCCCACTGGGATCCTGGGGTTCCAGTCGTCCGGCCTTATGCTGTCCTCCCTCCAGGGCTGCTTCACACACACACACACACACACACAGAAACACACAGAAACACAGAAACACGTTCAGCTGATGATCACAAAATAACTGCAAGTAGAGTGAAACAGAGCCCTGATTCAGCAGCGTGTCATGACAACAATCTTTTGACAAGCTAACAACAAGTCTTCTAATAAAGCTGAAGAATTAGCATATGAAGGGAGCATTGAGAGGAGACAGAGCAGGGACATGAAGCTCTTTAAAAGTGTCTAGACAGCTGACAGACCTGCACTTGCTCTGATGATCCTGACATTTGTGGTCAGTAGAAGCCTTTGATCCTGTTTTATGACAAAGCCACTGAGTGGTAGGTTAGCATGTGTAGCTAATTGTTAAGGCTGGGACATGTACAAACGAGTGTGTGCACACGTGATAGAAACATACCTCTGTGAGTGTTTTTATGAGGCCAATAAAAGCTCCTGTGTCTGAGCTCTTGTGGCAGTCTCTGATTTATGTGCCTGAAGTGAGAGCGGCTCCATAGGAGGCTGGCAGATGGCCAGGTACACACGTGTGCGGGAGCACTACATGATAAATGTCACCGGCTTTAAGTCACACAGGGAAATAGTATATCAGGCCTCCACTTATTGTACTTTTGTGCCAACAATCTCTTGGAATCATTGAAAACAAATGAAAGGCAGGAGCAGAGCTGTTGTTTGTGTTTGCTGCAGATGGTGTGGCATGTTCCCTTCATTAGGCTGATTGTTAAAATACAAATGTATTACTCACCATTCTGTGCAAGCAAGTGCTAATCTCTACCTCCATTCATTTCCACAAGAAAAAATGTTAAACAACAGTTGGTTATTCTTGGTAATTTTACTCCTGTTTTTTAGATTTTTGGTAATGATACCTCAGGGCGACACAATATGTCACCATCAATCATCCGGTGCAAAAACAACATGCACAATATTCTGATCACAAAGGCTGCTACACACAGTGTTCACATACTTCAGATCACTGTGTGTTAACGTTACCATTGTTCACCAGCACTGCTTCTACATGTGTTTCCTTTATGACCAGGGACTTGGACATTCTTCAGTATCTGACCGTCTTTACATTATACACTACAGGATAATCTACCATGACACTGATACAACACGTCATGTTTTGTGATAGAACTGGAGCTGCAAGTTGTGTGTTTAAAAGCCCACAGGGAGACTGAAGGAAGCGTCTCCTGTTCAGACGGCTGCCTATGAGACCCGGCCCCAGATAAAGAGGAAGAAAACGGATGGATATTCAAAGTAAGGATAGAATATAGAACATGTTTTGGTAACAGAGCTTATGGCTAGACAAAGAAAACTATAGTAGCACAAAATTATCCTCATGCTAGCCCATAGAAATGGAGCTAGTGGACAATGCTATCCCACTAGCTCAATAAAGACAATGGACAAAGTTTGGCTCCAATTTGCTCTGACTGACTGACTTTGAAGGGTGGTCTGAGTGTGCTGTTTGTGTCACAAGGAAATTAGCCAGAGCTCGCGTGTGTTAAAATAGACCTCTTCCACATAAAGGCTAACACTATGGTCATGTCACACTCGGTTCTAGCCATACTGTTGTCAATATAATTTTGGAGTACTTGATAACAATATTCAAACGGAGGGTGGCAATCCATCATCATTGAGCTTGTATTGTTCAACGTTCAAAAACTATGAAAGTGCACCTCACCGTGAGCTTGATGGCTTTTTACCTGCGTCCAGGAACGCAAAGTTTTAAGAACATTCTCAGGAAGCATGTGTGTCTGTGCGTGCATATGTGTGCATGGTAAGTATGTCTGTGAGTGTGTGTGTCTGTACATGTGTGTTTGTCTGTGTGCTTGTTATTTTCTGCCTGTGCTCATTGTCATTACCTGTTATTGAATATTATTTTGTATATTTTATTCATGTGACCAGGGACATGTGCTGATCAAAACTTAATGTCATCGTCCCTTTCAAATAAGAAGAGAAATACGCTTTGTGTGTCTGTGTGTTGGTATATGTGTGCTGTGTATTATCGTGTGTGTGCGTGTGTATGTATGCCTGTTTCCTTGTGTATGTGCATGTGTGCGTGTGTCTGAGTGTGTGTGAGTGTCCGTGGATCCTTGTGCATGTGTGTGTCTGTCTATGTGTGGGTGTGTCTGTGTGTGTATGTGCATACGTGCATCTGTGTATGCATGTGTCTGTGCGTGCGCGTGTGTGTGTCTGGGTCTCTGTGTGTGTGCGCGCTGACTTGCCTTCTCTTCCAGACATGTTGAACCAAAGTGAAACAGGACTGACATCTGAGAGCATTTCTAAGTCTGATGGACAGGAACTTGGAATCTCATGAAAAGCCTCAGTCTCTGTGAGCTCATTGGGCCGCGCTGACCCGAGGTGTGGCGGGCACTGACCTGCACTGGCCGGTTGGGGGGCGTGCCGATGAGCGGTGCGGACGCCATGGCCGAGGCCGCGGTCAGGCTCCTCTCCCTCTCGTCCTGGTAGATGCGGTCTCGCTCAGCCTCGGGGAGCTGAAGGAAGTTCTGCATGGCGCGCAGGTTGACCAGCAGCGACTGCGAGGCCGTCTTGGGGTCCTCTTCTTTGCGGAGGATCTCGGAGAGCAGGCCCTGCGCGGACACGGTAATCGGATCAGAGGCGTAGGCTAATGCACCGGAGCCGGGCTTAAACTGATCATGGCTTTTACAGCAGAAGCAGGAGTCTCTGCGGCTTCACTCACAGATGTGGATGGACTCCTGATCTCACAGTGGAGTCTTCAGGGACGTAACAATATGCAGCTAATATGAACACTAATATCACAGTACTAGGGCTAATACTTATGATCATTTAATATTCAAAGAAGCAGTCATTAGCCGCCTGATTTTGCGGCCTATGTGCGTGTTTGTGCGTATGTATGTTTGTGTGCATCCGAGTATGTGTATGTATGTGTGTGCTGGTGTCCATTTGTGCTGTTTTCTGTACATTGTTTGGGGTTTGTCCATTGCAGTGAGTCTGTTGGAGTATGTCTGTTGAAGTTAAGTCTGTTGGGGTGAGTCTGTTGGGGTAAGTCTGTTGGGGTGAGTCTGTTGGAATGAGTCTGTTGGGGTAAGTCTGTTGGGGTTAGTCTGTTGGGGTGAGTCTGTTGGAATGAGTCTGTTGGGGTGAGTCTGTTGGGGTGAGTCTGTTGGGGTGAGTCTGTTGGGGTTAGTCTGTTGGGGTGAGTCTGTTGGGGTTAGTCTGTTGGGGTGAGTCTGTTGGGGTTAGTCTGTTGGGGTGAGTCTGTTGGGGTGAGTCTGTTGGGGTGAGTCTGTTGGGGTTAGTCTGTTGGGGTGAGTCTGTTGGGGTTAGTCTGTTGGGGTGAGTCTGTTGGGGTGAGTCTGTTGGGGTGAGTCTGTTGGGGTTAGTCTGTTGGGGTGAGTCTGTTGGAATGAGTCTGTTGGGGTGAGTCTGTTGGGGTTAGTCTGTTGGGGTGAGTCTGTTGGGGTTAGTCTGTTGGGGTGAGTCTGTTGGGGTGAGTCTGTTGGGGTGAGTCTGTTGGGGTTAGTCTGTTGGGGTGAGTCTGTTGGGGTTAGTCTGTTGGGGTGAGTCTGTTGGGGTGAGTCTGTTGGGGTGAGTCTGTTGGGGTTAGTCTGTTGGGGTGAGTCTGTTGGGGTTAGTCTGTTGGGGTGAGTCTGTTGGGGTGAGTCTGTTGGGGTGAGTCTGTTGGGGTTAGTCTGTTGGGGTGAGTCTGTTGGAATGAGTCTGTTGGGGTAAGTCTGTTGGGGTTAGTCTGTTGGGGTGAGTCTGTTGGAATGAGTCTGTTGGGGTGAGTCTGTTGGGGTGAGTCTGTTGGGGTGAGTCTGTTGGGGTTAGTCTGTTGGGGTGAGTCTGTTGGAATGAGTCTGTTGGGGTTAGTCTGTTGGGGTTAGTCTGTTGGGGTGAGTCTGTTGGGGTTAGTCTGTTGGGGTGAGTCTGTTGGGGTTAGTCTGTTGGGGTGAGTCTGTTGGGGTGAGTCTGTTGGGGTGAGTCTGTTGGGGTTAGTCTGTTGGGGTGAGTCTGTTGGGGTTAGTCTGTTGGGGTGAGTCTGTTGGGGTGAGTCTGTTGGGGTTAGTCTGTTGGGGTGAGTCTGTTGGGGTTAGTCTGTTGGGGTGAGTCTGTTGGGGTTAGTCTGTTGGGGTGAGTCTGTTGGAATGAGTCTGTTGGGGTGAGTCTGTTGGAATGAGTCTGTTGGGGTGAGTCTGTTAGGGTGAGTCTGTTGGGGTAAGTCTGTTGGAATGAGTCTGTTGGGGTAAGTCTGTTGGGGTTAGTCTGTTGGGGTGAGTCTGTTGGAATGAGTCTGTTGGGGTTAGTCTGTTGGGGTTAGTCTGTTGGGGTGAGTCTGTTGGGGTTAGTCTGTTGGGGTGAGTCTGTTGGGGTTAGTCTGTTGGGGTGAGTCTGTTGGGGTGAGTCTGTTGGGGTAAGTCTGTTGGAATGAGTCTGTTGGGGTTAGTCTGTTGGGGTGAGTCTGTTGGAATGAGTCTGTTGGGGTTAGTCTGTTGGGGTGAGTCTGTTGGGGTGAGTCTGTTGGAATGAGTCTGTTGGGGTTAGTCTGTTGGGGTGAGTCTGTTGGGGTGAGTCTGTTGGGGTGAGTCTGTTGGGGGAAGGCTGGTCGGGCAGATGAGAAACTATTTTTGTTTTTAACATCACTTTTAACAAAATCATTTTAAGTTTGAGGAGTTTGGAGGATTGCATGATGCAATAACAGGTGTCAGAGTTTATCAGTATAAAAAAGATAGAAACACAGTATTTTTCAAACCCTGCATTGAATCTCGACGAAAAAAAGCCCCTCAAACTTCTGCTTCGTCTTCCTAATCATCATTGGTATGTTCCCGTGCATCTCTCCAACGCGCTCTGATCCATGGGCTGTAGCTTGTAATTGACTTTGTTGGACATCTTCTCTCTCAGTGGCGGCAGTGGCGGTGGTGGTGGTGGAGGAGCTGAGTGGATGGTAGTGCGGTAAACGTGGCGCTCTAATCAGTGCGTCCTCTGTTCGCTCTTCAATAGGAGTGGATTCCGTCATTATGCGAGCGCCGGCTGTGATTGGGCCTTTTCATGCACGCGGGGCCCACACGCTGAGCTCTCGCCGGCTCGGCTCCTCGCTGTCAATAGGTGTGATTTGGTCATAAAACAAGGTGATGTGTTCTGTTATGGCACGTTTATCACCGGAGTTTGTGAGGATGAGTGCGTGGGCTGCTATCGCACAAACTCGGCTTTTAGAGGGAATACTCTTCTGCGCGTTGTTTGTGTGTGTATCCTGCGATAATGAACTAAAACTGATGAATAGAAACGTGTCCATTGATCCTGTTTGAAACTGCAAAACTGATAGACCACATACAGTGTGAGAACTCAAAGATGTATGGTCTGAAGTTTCTGAAGTTCAGAAAAACCGGCAGGGAAAGGTGATTGGTAAAACAGACCCTTTCTGAGCCTCATATAAAGGAATATACAGTATAACTCCTGTTTCCACCAGCCCTAATTGGCCCTACCGTACTCTATTCTATCTTACCCTATCCTACTCAACTCTATCCTACTTGACTCTACTCTACTCAACCTAGCAACCTACCCACAACAAACCAGTATCCGGGGGACGTTTCTTGGTAAGTATGGCTTCCAGCAGCACTCTGGCCAATCACTGTCAGTTATAACAATTTAGTACCAGCTCGACTTGAACCAGGGCCAAGAGGGAGTAAAGAAGGACCTGGTACAGGTTAAACAGGGCCAGTGGTGGCAACACTCCCAGTCAGTGGAGTGTAGAAGAGTAGAGTAGATTAGAGTAGAGCTGAATAGAGTAGAGTAGAGTAGCGTAAAGTAGAGTAGAGAAGAGAAGAGCTGAGTAGTAGAGTAGAGTAGGGCCAAGTCCGGCTGGTGGAAACAGAGGGTTATTACGATACTCAAACATGCCTGAGTCAATGAAAATAAAACGTTGGGAACACGATTGAAAGCTCAGAAAAGTCAGTGTGAGAAATTTGAATGTTCGTGTCATTCCACTGGCAGCAAAGAATCAAGATCAGTTTGTGCTCTCCTGAACAAATGAGACTTTTAGAGATTCAGATGGATTGACAAAGTGTGGTCTTGAATATTGTCATCAAGTGTCCAAATTTACAACAGACCAGACCAGAGAGAGAAATCAGGGCGAGACACCAGAGAAAGGTAAGAGAGAGACCCCAGAGACAAAGGTCAAAGAGTAACCAGAGAGAGAATAGAGAGAGAGACCAGAGAGAGTCCAAAGATACAACACGCAAAACAGTAGAATCTGTTTCATGCTGAATTGCTTTGCAGAACCAATCATAGACCAGATTTTTATAACTATATGTTTTAATGGATCTTTTGAAAGACTAAATTAGATTAGGAGAACATGGCTAAAACATAATGTTGTCAGAAATAACCCAATTCTCGCCTTAATTAGAAAAGCCTAGTGTGAGCGACAAATTCTACAAGTCTTGACATTGCTTGAATGTTTGAATATGAAAAAATTGGCATCACTTTCCATTTAAAAACCATAAACATTCTTGTGTTCAGACATTGCGACGGTTATATAGTTTTACAATTTCATCTCTTATATATCTAATGTGTGCCTTGGATTGGGGACAAGGCTCGGCATGTCAGAAATGCAAAAGTGATAATCCTGGAGTGTGGAGGCCTCTTGTCTGTCTCCTGTCACCTTCTGCAGCCCCTCCCCCTCCACTTTATTAACGCGCATATGGCAAACAACAAACGGCTAATAAAACACCACCACCCCCAACACACACACACACCTACATACAATCACACACAAACACATGCCGCTCTGAAACAATGGGTTTATGGCAGATGAATGCTCTGGTCTCACCAGATTTCTGTGTTTGTGCTGTTTTGGATGTGAACAGAAGGGGTAGTAGTGGTATAGTGATCAGTTGGAGAGAGACCAGAGAAAGACACCAGAGAGAGTCCAGAGAGAGTCCACAGAGACCAGAAAGAGTCCAGAGAAAAAAGAAAGAAAGACCAGAGAGAGAGACCAGAGAGAGAGATCAGGGAGAGAGACCAGAGAGAGGAACCAGAAAGAGAGATCAGAGAGAGACTGGCCAATGAATTTTATTTTGAAAATGTATTATATCCAATTTTAAGCTGGGTTTAAATTTTAGATTCAAAATGAGGAATTCCACCTACTTGAGGTCATTAATAAATTATTCTGATGACACGCCATGACAGCCATACTGTATTAACAATAAAAACCCAGCATCAATGCTGAGTTTTCCTTACTATGTACAAAAAGTAAAACACACAAGATTCACACAGATCTCACCTGTGTCCTGTTGAAGGCCACTCGGGCGAACACGGCTTGGGAGATGCCGGCTCTCTTCAGCTCGTCCCGAACCCACTGGTAGATTTCCGAGGATACGTCTGTGTTGGAGGCCACCTGAGGCTCCATGGGCTTGTTGTGGTTGCGGCTCACTGGGGGGTGGTTGAGGTACTGCTGGGACAGAGTCTGCTGGGCCAGAAGCCTGTTGACGGCATACTGCTGGTTGAGGATCTGAGCCATGACCAGCTGTTGGTTGACCAGCTGGGGGCTGATGGGCGTGGACACAAGGCCGGGGTGGTGCAGGCCGGGCATCTGCGGCTGTCTGCCCCCCGCCTGCCCGCCGTGAGGGGGCGGAGCGTGGGATAGAGGGGGGACCGGTGAGGAGGGCGTCTGCTCTGCTGTGCTGCCTGGGATGGGCTGCTGCTGCTGGGAGAAGCTCAGGTGGTTGTGGTTAGAGCCGGGAGGAGACAGGTCTGCGAGGCCGTCCATGTCTCCTGCACACATAAGGGACCAGAGGTTATACACAAGAGACCAGAGGTTACACACAAGAGACCAGAGGTTATACACAAGAGACCAGAGGTTACACACAAGAGACCAGAGGTTATACACAAGAGACCAGAGGTTATACACAAGAGACCAGAGGTTACACACAAGAGACCAGAGGTTATACACAAGAGACCAGAGGTTACACACAAGAGACCAGAGGTTATACACAAGAGACCAGAGGTTACACACAAGAGACCAGAGGTTATACACAAGAGACCAGAGGTTACACACAAGAGACCAGAGGTTACACACAAGAGACCAGAGGTTATACACAAGAGACCAGAGGTTATACACAAGAGACCAGAGGTTATACACAAGAGATCAGAGGTTACACACAAGAGACCAGAGGTTATACACAAGAGACCAGAGGTTATACACAAGAGACCAGAGGTTACACACAAGGGACCAGAGGTTACACACAAGAGATCAGAGGTTACACACAAGGGACCAGAGGTTACACACAAGAGATCAGAGGTTACACACAAGCACCCCAGGAAACTCTTTGGGGTTAGGAAACATTGTTTGGGGTTGTGTGAAGCCATGTTGAGACCGGTTTACTATTTCAAAATTATAATGACACAGAACCTCCTCTTCTGACCCCCAGTTCTCAATAGGGTGTCTTGCCCACTAACATGTATGACAGACGTTTTTAGTAGGTGTGGATGAGATACTTTCTACTCTCTGGTCCCTCTCTGGTCCCTCACTGGGCTCCCTCTCTGGTCTCTACATTTATCTCTCTCTGGTTATTCTGGTCTCTCTCTGGTCTCTTTGAGGTTAATCTGGTCTCTCTGGTCCCTGGTCTCTCTTTCTGGTCTATCTCTAGTCTCTTCAGTATCCCTCTCTGGTCTCTCTCTCTCTGGTGTCTCTCTTGTCTATGCCACACTCTTGAGGTGGGCTGGAAAAACAATATTGGATTGTAAAATGGGAGCAAAACAAAAAAAAGCATTACATGGACTACAGCTTGATTTAAAGATAAATCTGACAATCCCACATTATCTCAGCGCTCGGCCCTATCCTGCACTCGCGGGCATGAATCCGGCAGTCACAGAATGTACGGACAGTAATGCGGTAACGAGCGTGTACCTCTGGCTCGCTCTCATTAGCAACAACAGCGCCGCTTGTAAACATGGGGCAGATAGAGCGCGGATAAGGGGCTCATTGTAAGTGCGAGTCGGCCCACAGAAAATCTAGTAAAGCTGTTCTCCTGTCTCGTCATGTGGAGAGGAGTCAGACACAGGAGAAGCAGTGTGCGCCGACAGATGCGAAGAGGTCAGCTGGGCAGGTCAAGCGGGCGGGACTGTATCTAAAGCGGGCGGCACGGTGGCTGAGTGGATAGCACTCTCGCCTCTCAACAAGAAGGTCCTGGGTTCGAATCCCGGTCGGACCAGGGCCTTTCTGAGTGGAGTTTGCATGTTCTCCCCGTGTCTGCGTAGGTTTCCTCCGGGTACTCCGGTTTCCCCTACCACTAAAAATATGTCCAATAGTTCTGGCATGCGCCTCCTGTACTGGCGACCCCGCTCCCATCTCTGTGTGGAGTGAGAGACAAATGCCCCAAAAAAAAATTAACAATTGTAAACCGCTTTGAGACTCAGATCTGTAGTGAATAAAGATATGAATAAAGATTACTAAAGCAAAAGTGGCGAGAGGGTTTGGGGTTGTGGATCCCCAATTCTTCCACCATCGATATTGTTGCCAAATGTTCAAGTTTTTGGTATGAAAGTAACTGTGCTGCAGATAGCAATCACACATGTATGTAAGTAAGTAAATGAATGAGTACATGAATTTCTGTAAAAGTGATGGTTTGTGTATCTGGGCAAGGTGTGAAAATACCAATAAAAAAACTCGATTATATGAGTGTCTACAGGTTGGCCTCTGTCATGCCTTAAAATTCTAAGAATAGAGTGGGAATTTAATTACTGAAACTTTTTGACCAACTGAATAGAGCTGTTGAGGGTCAATGTAGGAGTTTCACTGCTATCGCTACATCTTTAAGTGACATTATTATTAAGAGTGTAGGGTCGGGGAGTGTTTGGGCCTGCGTTTGAGCGCATGTGTGTCTGTCTGTGTGTGTGTGTGCATGTTCCGGGACCGAAGTAAAAGCCTGTAGCAGCTCTGGGAGGAGGCTAAAGGCAGAACAAATAGATAAATTGTGCAGATTTAAATACCTTTGGAAAAAAAACAGCTAACATTTATATAAACTTGTACGTAATCATATATCATGTATCATATCCTCTTCATATAGATCTTAAGATTTTCGTGAAGAAAAACAGTACAGTACAATACAATAGTAATAGTATAAAATGAAGAGAAGTTATTTTTGGAACAAGAGTCAGTGTTAGTTCTGCTGGAAAGGAATAAAGAGTGAAAATACTGCTAAGACACACCAATAGTAAACACGCTTAAGAGTGGGATCTAGTCTTAAAATAAATGCCTCCTTTGTAATAAAATGTGCAGTTTTGAGTCCGCAGCGGCTCCGCGCATGGACTGTTTTATGTATGTTTACGGCCTGAACGCGCTGGCGGAGTGAGGGGGCTGCGCGGAAGGATTCATATGGATTCATCTCAACTATAGAAAACAAACTGCTTTTATTCAGACGGAGAAAAGGGGGGAGTTTTTTTATTTAATTTCAAGAGATGAAAGATTAAAAACGTTTTCTTCTACCCAAAAATAAAAGAAAATAAGCTCAATAATCGGGTGTTTCTGAGCTGTCAGGAGCCACAAACAGCGAGCCAAGAAGGGGCTATTGAGCCGGGAATGGGGGTAATAATGGAGTCTTGTGGTAATCCCCGGCATTCGGATGGTATAGCGTTCCTATTGAGTGTGTGTATGTGTGTATATGTGTGTGTGTGTATGTGAGTGTGTGTGTACAGCGCTGGGGGGCATTTCCATGTGAATGTGAGAATACGGGGGACCCTCCTGTGGATCCCAGCCCGCAAAGAGGCCAGATTAGGGGCACAATGAGGCTGGGGGAGTGGAGCAGAGAGCTGACTGTCCTCTATCACACAGACTGGTAAACAAGATGGCTGGATTAAATACCAGAGGGTTTTTTGTTTTTACTTTTCATCAAACATTAAGAGACCAGTTGTTCAGTCGGTTAACTGGTGGGTGATGTCCAGCAGAGAAGAGGATATCTTATCATTTTAGCTCAAGCTGTGTCTAAGGAGTCCAGAGAGACCAGGAAGAGACTAGAGAGAGAGACCAGAGAGGACACCAGAGAGAGATAAGAGAGAGACCAGAGAGAGACAGCCAGGAAGAGAGACCAGGAAGAGACTAGAGAGAGAGACCAGAGAGGACACCAGAGAGAGATAAGAGAGAGACCAGAGAGAGACAGCCAGGAAGAGAGACCAGGAAGAGACTAGAGAGAGAGACCAGAGAGGACACCAGAGAGAGATAAGAGAGAGACCAGAGAGAGACAGCCAGGAAGAGAGACCAGGAAGAGACTAGAGAGAGAGACCAGAGAGGACACCAGAGAGAGACAACCAGGAAGAGAGACCAGGAAGAGACTAGAGAGAGAGACCAGAGAGGACACCAGAGAGATAAGAGAGAGACCAGAGAGAGACAACCAGGAAGAGAGACCAGCGGGAGAGACCAGCGAGCGAGATCAGCGAGCTAGACCAGCGAGCGAGACCAGCGAGCGAGACCAGCGAGCGAGGAACCAGAGAGAGACAAGAAAAAGAGAGGACCAACCTCACTCAGCCAATCAGGTCTCAGTATGCACAAGGTTTTCTAGTACAATAAAGACCGTCTGATTTGTACACAAAATGTTACTTAATCACGTTTAACATGTAGAAAGTGCGATGAACAACCCTAGATTCTATATGGACATGTTACTCCTACTATGATTGAACAGTAAATGCCTCTATACAATGTGTACCAGCCTCACCAATCTGGGCTTAAAATAATTGGATTTAAACGTTCTAATTCATCCTATTTTTATTTTGATTAGTGCTGTCAAAGTAAAAGCGTTAATTATTACAATTAATCCCCCAAAAATGGCATTAATTATGGCTTAGTCCTAGATTAATCACGAGGACTGTTGTTTCCCACTGCTCCCTGACCAGCAATAAACACATTCTACAGTGTGTGTGTTGAGCACAATCTGTGTGTGTGTATGTGCGTATTTGTCTATGTGCATGTGTGTCTATATGTTAGTGTGTGTGTGCGTGTGTCTTGTACCGAGGTATATTACTTTAATACTGTTGATATTGATTTTTTTCTTTTATGGCGGTCTTGTATGTAGTGAATAAATGAAGGGGGTAAGTAAGTAAGTAAGCTTTATTTATTTATTTATGTATTTATATACCGCCTTTCACAGACCAGTCACAAAGCGGTTTACAATTGTAATATTTTATTTATTTTTTGTTTTTTTTTTGGGCATTTGTCTCTCACTCCACACAGAGATGGGAGCGGGGTCGCCGAACAGGAGGTGCATCCCAGACCTATTGTACATATTTTTAGTGGTAGGGGAAACCGGAGTACCCGGAGGAAACCTACGCAGACACAGGGAGAACATGCAAACTCCACTCAGAAAGGCCCTGGTCCGGCCGGGATTCGAACCCAGGACCTTCTTGCTGAGAGGCGAGAGTGCTATCCTCTCAGCCACCGTGCCGCCCTATGGTATGAATTGTATGTACTTTTGCTTCACCCTCTTTTAAGGCTGTGTACTAACAAACTGATTGATGATTCAAGGATTTGCAAACCTCTGTCTCAGTGTATCGGCCCACCTTCTATCCAATCTGTGGGATCAACTCATTTCCTGGAGTGATCTGGAGTCTCGTTACCACTGGCCTTAAGTTAGTCCTGTGGTCAGGAGGTATACGTGTTTGCCTCAGTGAGAGACACTCACAGAGGCCGTGTGCGGGGCGAGTGGATGGTGATTAATTCCTCTGTTCGTGCTCTATTAAACTCTGAAGTGCTGTGAGCTGTTTATTGAACCTCACAGCATTAGCGCGCGCTCAGCTGCACCACCTTCTTTTGCGCAGCCTGTGAGTGGTGCTCAGGGCAGCCGAAGAGGAGGAGGAGGTGGAGGGGAAGGAGAGGGAGCGGCGGAGGAAGAGGACGAAATATGAAACAAAAACTGTCACACATTTCTACATTTTCTTTTTCAGCACCTATCAATAATATATTATTTTCGTCTGGTCTTTCTCTCTCTCAGATCTCCCTCTCCCCGGGTCTCTCTCTCTCTAGTCTCTATCTGCATGATGTTGTCAAGTAGAAATAACTTTCAGACATAAGAATAAAATAGCAACTTTGTGAATATAATTACAATCCAATAATCTGGACATAGCAAGATATTGTCTTTTTCCACCAATTCTGTTGCTTACTCTCCATAGAGTTGTATTTGCAACTATAGCAAAACAAAACACATTGAAAGAATAATCTCCATTGGTTTATCTGCAATAGATATTAAGGAGATAAAATGAGCAAAGACATTTCCTTTACCAGCAAGAGAGATACTAATTTGTGTTGTCGATAAGAAGACGTTTTTTTTATGTATTTGGACCAAAGCAGAAAGTTGAAAGCACAAATGAGTTGAGTTATTCTGTGTGCACCACTGTTTTAGAGCAACTCTGTCCGGTAACTTATAAATCGTTCATGCCTTGAGTTGACCTATTTCTGTTGCTCTACATCGTGGAAAAAATTTAGAGGAAATTAGTTATTAGCGCTTGAATTATGCAGTATCTATCTTGATTAATAGTTAATTTGTCAATGGATCTGGTCCCTCTCTGGTAACTTTTTCTGATATCTCTCTGGTCTCTTACTGGTCTTTCTCTGGTCTCTCTCACTGGTCCTTCTGATCTCTTTCTCTCGTCTGTCTCTCTGGTCTCTCTCTGGTCTTTCTCTAGTCTCTCTCTGATCTATTGCTGGTCTCTCTCATCTCGCTCTAGTCTTTTTCTAGTTTCTCTCTGGTCTCTTGCTGGTCTCTGAAGACGCTTCTTTTTCCCTTATTTTAGGAGAGGCTGTATTCGCATTCTCTGGTCCATCTATTGGGAAGTCGCAGAAATGAGCCAAGCTATTTTAGCAAAAGAAAAGACAATATCTAATACAAGCAGAAGGATTAAATGGATATAAATATAGAGTGTCAGAAATTCTATGTGAAAAAGACAAAATGTGGTGCCTTGAAACTAGGGATTAATTTTTTTACCTGTCCACACAACTACTAAAATCAATCAATAAATAAAAACTTATGTACGTAGAAATTAGGTAAAGGTTTGTAGAAAGTGACTGTGAGTGAGTGTGCATGTGTGTGTGTAGGTGTGTGTCTGTGTGGCCATGATGCGCTGACGTACCTAGTGCATTGGCACGTGGGCTCTCTCGGAGGACACACGTCCCCAGGTAGCCCTCCAGTTGGGAGGGTTGGCGCATGCCTGCACGGTCCGCAGCATGGACACACACAAACACACATACATACATACACAACACACACACACGCACAGGGAAGGAAGGAGCGAGGGGAGCAGAGAGAAGACAGGGTTAGGTCTGGGTAAGGAGCTACAGGGAACAGGTTAGTACAGGTTTGGTTTAGGTGAACAGAGGGCAGGATGCCAGGATTACTGCTGGGGCATTTCAAGGGCAAAAACAGAATATTTAAGAGTGTCTGTTTTTCATATATTAAATGCTGTGCTTGAAAACATTCTTGGACATACACCAAAAACTTTTTTTTTAACAATCATCTTATATGGAGCTGGGATTTCTGTGCTGTTCAATTTTCAAAGGCTTTTCAAAGGATTTTGGAATCAGAAACCACTTCCATACATTTCTCTTTTGCTTTATCCGGAGCCGATTCACAGACTCGTGTTCTACCAGAACACCCTTTATAAAAACAAAATATTATATTTCAAACCACAATAAAGCGTCAGCGTTTTTGCACTGATACTGTATGTTAAATTAGACTTTGGATCGGTCAAGAGAAGTAGATTCAGATTCAGACTACTTTATTTATCCCACCAGGAGCAATTCATTTGAGCACCACATAAAAAAATAAAAAAAATAATAACATTCAAACCGTACTTTTCCCAGCTCAGTATTCTTTGAGTAAAGTACAAAGAGTGTAATCTCATAGTGAAGAAAGCCCTGTTTCCACCAGCCCTACGCCACTCTACTTTACTCTACTCTACCTGGTCGTGTTTCCATTACGCATCCTCGTACCCACAACAAACCAGTAACTGGGGAAATTCCTGGGTAACCATAGCTTCCAGCAGCACCCTGGCCAATCACTCAGAACAATCCAGCTCGGCCTGGATAGAACTGGAGGACTATAAAAAGGGACTAAAAATAGGGACTTCTTTTTTTTTTTTTTGACCAATTTTATTTGAGTCTGAAATAAAGGTTAAGAACCTGGTACTGATTACTATTCTACTCTAATCGGGGGAGATTAGAGTAGAATAGAGTAGGGCCAAGTAGAGTAGAGTAAGGGCTGGTTGAAACGGGGCTATCTGGGATATCTCAGTTCTACTATAGGCTCAATATCATGAGAGTTCGGCAAAGACTTTATCACAAGCTTTTTCAGCATATCCCCTCAGACTGTGAACAGAGTTGTGACAAAAATCTAGTGGGAGTTTGCAAAAATACATACGTTGAAAAAAAGCACAGATAAGACAGGATCACAACAAGCTATTAGCATGGAGGCTGTAAAAACATTTTGATATACTGTAATACTGTGAGTAAAAGAAAGAACAGACTGGGGGAGGCTAATATCAGCTTGTATCTTGTGTATGAATTATGTAACCTTATTTCCTGGCGGGTCAAAGGGGCTTTTCTCATAATATAAAGCATGCGTTGTCGTGGTGGAGGAGGGAGGGGGGGTGATAACGGATCTAATTGAATTTCAGAAAATAGGCGGTGGCCACTTGAAGTCTTTTCTGGGAGTTTTTTGTGTTGGGTGGAAGACTGTAAACAACAAAGTAGTCTTAGGCCGTGGATTGAGCTGTGATGGATTGATTGGAGATAAAAGTGATGGCTAATTATTGGAAAGCGTGGTGATGTGTGCGATGGGGAGACAAAAAGCTAGTGGCAAGAGATGCACTTCTATAGGCACAAACCAGGGAGGTCTTTCTCTGGTCTCTTTCTGATCTCTCTCTGGTACATCTCTGATCTCTCTCTGGTCTCTCCCTCTGGTCTCTCCCTCTGGTCTCTCTCTGGTACATCTCTGATCTCTCTCTGGTCTCTCCCTCTGGTCTCTCTCTGGTCTCTCCCTCTGGTCTCTCTCTGGTCTCTCTCTGGTCTCTCCCTCTGGTCTCTCTCTGGCTTTTCTCTCTTTCTCCAGTCTCTCACTAGTCTCTCTATCTCTGGTAACTCTGGTGTCTCTATTTGGTCTTTCTCTGGCCTCTCTCTCTCTCTCTCTCTTTTACTCTCTCTGGTCACTCTAGTGTCTCTATTTGGTCTTTCTCTGGCCTCTCTCTCTCTCTCTCTTTTACTCTCTCTGGTCACTCTAGTGTCTCTATTTGGTCTTTCTCTGGCCTCTCTCTCTCTCTCTCTTACTCTCTCTTACTCTCTCTGGTCACTCTAGTGTCTCTATTTGGTCTTTCTCTGGCCTCTCTCTCTCTCTCTCGCTCTATCTGGTCTCTCTCTGGTCTCTCTCGGGCCTCTCTCTCTGTGGTCTCACCAGTCTCTCTCTCTCTCTCTGGTTACTCTGGTAGACACCCGAGTAACCAGAGTAACCTCCTTGGTCTCTCTCGCTGGTCATTCTGGTGTCTCTCTTTGGACTCTCTTTGGTCTCTCTCTGGTCTCTCTCCAGCTTGAGTTCATGCAATCATTCCTTCATTTCACTACAAATAGTTGCTGTCCATCTTGTCCCAAAGCATCATATTGTGACTCATATGGTAGTCTGAAATGTCCACTCCATATCAGAAAATACTTTGTATGCAGCTGAAACAGACCAATTTAGTTAAAAAACCCAAAAACAAATAGATATAAAGAGAGCACATCTAAGCTTGCTCTGTCACATTCAGGGATGCTTTTATGATTCCAATGTGTTTTCATGATGTTTAAATGGTTTAGCCCCTGTATATCTGACAGAGCTGGTCTCTCTCTGCTCCCTCACAGAGCTGGTATATCTGTCTACTCCTGTCAGATCAGTGAGGTCAGAAAACCAGCTGCTGTTGAAAATGTCCAGATCTCGTCTCAAAACTCGATGAGACCGAGCCTTCACTGTAGCTGCTCCAAAACTGTGGAATAGTGACCTCTGTACATGAGAGCAGCTCCTTTTAAACTAAATTCTATCGTGTTCCAAGTGTGTGTATTTCAAGCTGTTTTTATTGGACTTTTCTTGTTAGTTTTTAAAAACACCTTGTCCTTCATCTGACTGTTTTTGCATTACAAATTCGAAAAGTGCTCCCTTCCTTCCTCTTTGACTAAAAAAAACAAAAGCGCCCGTGAGCAGAGGTGCGTGGTGCGAGCGTGCCGATTGTCGCCCGCATTGTGCTTACCCATCATATCTTTTGTCTTCTTGAAATGTTTATACCAGCGCCCAAATTCCTGACACTTGGCGGCCGACACATTTGCATAGTAAGTGCTGTTCACGATGGAGGAAATCATGCTCTGAAACAGACAGACACAGTGGAAGACATTTTAGTTTGTGAGCGAGAAAACAGACGTGACGTTACATTGTGGCAGGGGTAAAGGGCGTGTGTGTGTGTGTGTGTGTGTGTGTGTGTGTGTGTGTGTGTGTGTGTGTGTGTGTGTGTGTGTGTGTGTGTGTGTGTGTGTGTGTGTGTGTGTGTGTGTGTGTGTGTGTGTGTGTGTGTGTGTGTGTGTGTGTGTGTGTGTGTGTATGTGTGTGTGTGTGTGACTGTCAAAAGAAATGTTAATGGATGGACTAGTTAAAGAAAACATATTGTGCTTATTGGGATATATTTATTATTAATGTTTTTTGGATAATCCATGTTACGCCGCTTTAGTTATTTTTCCCTTTGCTTTAAAAACAATTAACAATGATAATGCGTGGGTTTTATGCAGTGCTTTTCTGGACACTCAATGACACTTCACAGCATTATTCATTCACTCCAAACGCAGTGAATGCATCGGTTTTATATATCGCTTTTTTTGGACACTCAAAGACGCTTTACATGTCATTATTCTTTCACTCCATACACAATGGAGATAAACTACTACTGTAGCCACAGCTGCCCTGGGGCACACTGACAGAAACGAGGCAACCAGTCTGTGCCATCGGCCCCTCCCACCACCAACCATTCACACACACACCAGACTCATTCTAGGCAATGTGGGTGAAGTGTCTTGCCTAAGGACACAACGGCAATTTGTCGCTGTGGCGGTAAACTATTGTAGCCACGGCTGCCCTAGGGCACACTAAGAGGAGCGAGATCGACATTGTTTTTAACATGATACTAAAAAGGCCATGCGTGTCCTATTCAATTCAATTAATTTGTTTTTTGTAAAGCCCTAGATCACAACATCAGATCAGAGAATCAAACAGTTTGAACACAGGAAATGCAATAATAACAAACACATAGAAGCCATTGGTTTATAGGGAACGGGATGACCACTGTCCAGAAATGCTAATAAATCTTCCGGATCATCACTGTCAGAGACTATTCTGCTTCAGATTGTTATGTTGTCTTTAAATACGTCGAGCAGAGAGTTTTAACCGTCCAAAACAAAACAATGTATTTCAAAACTTTATGGAGAAGAGGACACTGCAAACAACATGACTTCAATTACTCATAAAAATATACATGCCGGGCTTTAAGGGCACTGCTGCTTCCGTTTGGTGTAAAACGAGGCCATGGATGAGTGAAGAGTTCTCATGATGCAGTTCGGGGAATGATCAAAAACAGCCTACATGTGTTTATTATATTAATTGAATGTAAAAATATGCATGTAATGATTCCAAGGAGACCCCAAGAAGAATAGCCACTGAGGAGCAGTGTGGATCTTAATAAACTAAACACAAAATATAGACAAACATCATCTGTCACTGTTTTTGGCCACTAAATAGTTTGCTATGTAATATCGCTAATAATTTCAAATGGTTGCGTATTATTGTCTCCACTGCTACATCCATAATGATATATTCATTCATTCATTCATTTTCAAGCCCTTTATTGTCCATTTCTGGGTCAGGGGGGTGGCAATGAGAGCTGCCACCCAACGCTCATAGCCCCAGTCCCTCTGATCCTCTGCAGGGGGTGAGTCCACAGGAAGGTTTTTCAGCGGAGGGCTTCAGGCAACGTGGGGTTAAGTGTCTTGCCCAAGGACACAACGACAGTAGACATCAGTGGGAGCAGTTGGAGTAGGTCCCATGGTGGGAATTGAACTCAAAGGCTCAAAGGCCAATGCTCTACCAACTGAGCTACTGTCGCCCCATATATATATATATATATATATATATGTTGTAATAAAATACTTTAAATATGCAGATTTTAAGACTTTGTACCAGAGATCAATTAAGTATATCTTAACTAGCAAACGGAGAAATTGCTTTGCGATTTATTCAAACCCATAAACTGTATATAGTAGATGGACAGTGCAAACCTGCTAGCCCAATAGTGCTAATGAATTAAAATGTAATAAAAATGCAAAGAACGTTGCTGACCCGCCCTCTCCATGTAGTTCCCATTTATCAAAAATGCAACAACATATTTGAGCGTAAGCTACTTAAAACTGTAACAGAATGAGAGTTTGATAAAAACAAATCTTTACGGAAGAGAAGTAGAGAGAAACCTGAAGATATCTTTGTGTAAAATATAAAGTGTGTTGGATAATATTTTGGGTTTTGTTTTTGTCTGAAACTTTCACAAAAAGGGACGTACATAGAGGAAATTTAGATTTTACTGAATAATATTTTTCAGTTTTTTATTCTAGATTTTTATTCTTGCGGATTGGACCAAAGCTGGAATTAAGCTAAAGAAGGCAAAATATTGTGGACGGATGAATGTTTTTGATGAATTATTATGTGATATTATGCCATTGTAGCTCTTATGAAGCTGGGTATTGATTCACATGAATTTAAAAAGGGGGAGACGGTATGGAGTTTGCAATGGGAAAAGATCAGAGGGCCACACAAGAACCTGAATTGGCCCTTATGTGGCCCCCGGCTGTACTTTGCCCAGGTCAGCTTCAAACATATCTGGGGGCCGCCAGGTCTGATGGAGCGTCTACGGAGCTGTTGTTTTTTTACCCGTTTCATGTGCAAGTGTTCAATTAGAAGGGTGAGTAAAAGTCGGCACGCATCAAGAGCAGGTGGCGCGCAGATATTTACCTTCAAACGACGCGCGCTACTATCAGCATCTGGGGAATCGGCCCCGTGTAAACAGATAAACCTCCTTTATTCTTTCTCTGCTTTATTTATACAATCTGTTAAGAGGAGCGCTCCGAGGGCCGCGGCGAGAATGTACCGCTTTGACAAGTGCGCTCCCTCAGCCGGCGCCGCGCCCTCACGAACTCTTGCTTCCACCGACCTCAGGAAAACAAAGAGAGAATGTGCGATGTGTTTTTCTGCCTCTCCCTGCCAGTTTCATTAAAATAAATGTTTTAACACCTTGCCGGCCTCCAGGCAGATCGCAAGGCTGGTGCGGGAGAAATTGTTTTTGATTGTTATAAATATTCAAAAGAAGCAAGCCATCTGTTTTCAAATTACAGGTATGCGGTCTTTATCATTGTGTGTAATGTATGCGCAGGGAGGATGCAGGGGGAACCTTCTGGCACCAACAGCGCGGTGGTGGGAGACAGAGAAGGACTGCGTGTGCGTTGTTCGGAGCGAGGTTAATGAGGAGTCGTGGGCCCTGCACGGCACTTCACTCCAAAACTCAGGAATGCAAACTTTTCCACGGTAACTTTGACTGATTTAAGTGCATTCTGAGGGTGAGCAGTAACGTACAGGACGCATAGTGTGCAAAGAGACTTTTATCATTTTAACCGTGTTACGACATTCATCGTACCTAAGATGTTTTAGGCGAGGCAAGTGCTGAACAAGGCATTGAAATCACACATAATCACAGTACATTAAAAAAGAGTGAAAAAATATAGGCCTCGAACCACAGTACAAAGTATTTGTGTACACAATGGCCACAACGATACAATCCTTCAGTTGTATGCACAGCTAAAAAGAACTGTTTTGCACATTGTGAATAGAAGCCTGACTCACATTTTCAGGAAGGAACTGTTCCAGGTTTTAGCCACATGAGTCTGAAATGCTGCCTCCCCCATGTTTAGTGGGCACTCAAGCTTTGTTCACCCGATCAGGGCCTTTTAACGCTTTCTCGTCCACCTGCCCTCATAGAAAGTGCTGTGTTGAATCTCTGAGCTGTTGTATTTCTTGGTTGCATTGGGGCCTTAGCCATCCGTCCACTCCGCTCAATCATCATTTCCCTGCATGTAACGTCTGGGTCTGTTCCCCATGTTAGCGTTTACAAACCATTGAATTTCTACCGACAAATCAGCGAGCGTTGGAGGTGGGTGTTGTAGAGTTGTGGATGATGTCAAGAGTTTGCGTCGAACAGGCAGGTTGTAGTTTGGTAATGGCGAAGAATGCGATAGTAAAGTAATCCGGTCTGGTTCTATCAAGAAGTTGAAGCAGGAGCAAGAGTAATGTTTAGCAAATGTAATCGCTGGAAAAAATTGTGGCGCTACTCCCCATGAGCTCCGGAGATGGCTAAGCTAAATGCTAAATGCTAACGACAGACTCGGGCGCACTACATACGTCACGGTAAACTCAGATCCAATCGTTTCAATCTGAAAAAGGAGTTAGCCCCTCCCACCTGTTCACGGAGCTCAATGGAGCGCCTCCAGACCTTAGTACGAAATGTAATGTGCACTATGGTGTGGTACGACCAGGCTAGGGCTTCCCCTGTTTTGACTATCAGAGAGCCTTCCAGAGGAAAAAGTTAATCTCTTGCTTTCGCCCCATGCATCGGGTCTCTGTGTCCACTGCCTCTCCCGCCGCACATGCTATTCCTCGCACGGACGAGCATAACTATTGACACGGCACTGAAAAACAATCTATAGATCCATGGACGCTACGCATGGTGCGGTTGTTGTTTTTACATTTCCCAGAATGTTTTGCGGTTCATGCCTGGTTGTGATAGGTCGAGAAGCCTCTGCCTACATCCCCCAGAATGCTGCACGCTTCTGACTCGGCTTTATTTCCTGTTTTTTCTAACAGAGTGAAGTTAAACTATCGAACATTCTATCGACCCCGTTTTCTATTGATATCGAACACCTGTCAATCGCAATATATATCGTTATTGTTTTATCGCCCAGCCCTTTTTCATGTGTTATGGAAATTAGCAATATTATTTCTACCTTCAACAAGAAGAGATGTTGGCTCTTCAAGGTATTAGTAAGTAAGCAAGGAATTTAGATATATTTTACAGACCAAGGTCAAAGCACTTTACAATGTTCAGAGATCAGATATTTTTCCGTTTCACACAAGGTGATAACGGAAGCAAGACGCCTCAAAGCCCCAAACCAACACCATCCATACAATCACACATTACATGCATACAAATAGCACATGTTTTTAGTGGTAGTGGAAACCGAAGCACCCGGAGGAAACCTAAATTCCACTCTGAAAGACC